ATGGGAGAAAATATTTGCCAGTTATTTATATATCTGAAGGGGGACTAATATGTCAAATATATAAAAAGTTAGAAAAAGTACCCAAAGGAAAAATAATAAATTTCCCCCGATGGAAAAATAAAAAAATAAATGATGCAATTAATTAATTAATTGGCTAAATTGGATAGACACTCAATAAATAGGTGTAAAGGGAAATAAAATGTCCTATATTTCATGACATTATGCAGAACAATATTAGATTTTGAGTTTATTTCACCATAGACAGAATATCTATCATGATAGAAATAAAATTAACAAATTCTGTTAAAAAGTAAAAGTATCATGAATTGTGCTGATAATGTAAATCAGTCTAGTCACTATGGAAACCAGAATAGCCTTTTCTGTGAATTTTTCTACATAGATAGAATATATTTCAGGTATACTAAAACCAGATATATATGCAAATCAATCCAAATAATCTAAGAAAAATATCTTCTTACCCTTACTTGATTTTGCACTTCCCAGAATACCAGAAAATAAAGAAGCAACATGTGTGCCCATAAAAAAAAGGAATGGAAAAATCAAAATATTCTACAGTGGAATTTTAAAGGAAATTTTACACTATTTTCCTAAAGGAGCACAGAATTTTTAGATTCATAGTGAGTACCATGTGAACAAATCTTAAAGCACTACACTAAGTGGATGAATGCAATTATGAAAAACTCACAGATTGTATGACTCTTTTTTGCAAAATGTCCAGAGTAGGCAAATCTATAAAAGGTAGAGAATACTGATTCCTCAGGAATAAAGTAGAGGAAAATTCATAGTTGCTAAGGATTGCAGTTTTTGAAAGGGAGTGGTTAAGTAGCTTAAAATTGATATTGGTATGTAAATATATATCTTTATGTTGAGTAAAAATATCTTTACATTTAGTAAAAACATTCATTTGTATACTTGTAATATTTGAATAATATACTATGACTTTTATGTAAATAAAGTGCTTAAAAATTAAAAATAAACTTATCTTTCTCACAGTTTTATAAATGTATTTTGTTGTTTCATTTACCCATCAAAAAGAAGATTATAAAATCTTCAGGAAATTGTATGTAACTGGATATCAACATGTGAACCAAAATAAATTAGACTCAAAATACAAGTACAATATATTTTCTCTCCTGTAGAATTGAGAAAACAACAAAGAAGTTGAAAGGAAAAGAATATTGTGAGAAATCTAAGGACAGTGCAAGATAGGGGAAGAATATAATGAAAATCCATTATACTCATGTATAAAAACATCAACATGAAACTTATTATTTGCATAATTGATAGTTGTGGCCAATGCTAAAATGAATATACAAAATTCTGAAAACAATTTGATAGCATAATTAAAAAACTGCTCTACAAAGTTCCTTTCACAAATGTCAGATTATTTAATAAAATAAACAGCTAATTATAATATGCAATTGACAATATAACTATTAACACATCAATAATATTCAAATTATACTTAATAGAAAGTCAAAAATAAAGGTACACATTTGTGAGATATCTATAAAAACTTACTGATAGACTATAAAATGAGTTGCTAATAGAAATATATAGTCCATTCATTATAGAAGAAACTGTTATAAAAATATTAATCACCTTATTCTTAATTTTGAAAATTATTCTTTATGTATGAGTGCTTTTCCTGCATGTATCTTTGTGCACCATGTGTATACAGTGCCTTGCTAAAGCCAGAAAAGAACGTTAGATCCCCTGGTACTGGAAAAACACATGGTTATGAGCAAAAATGTGGGTGCTGCGAGCTGGTCAAACTCAGGTCCTCTGGAAGAGCAGTTAGTCCTCTTAACCACTGAGATATCTCTCCAGTCCCAATTACCTAAAATTAATTGCATATCTGTTGCCTTATACATTGCTCTGATATTTAAAACCAAACTCAGTTTGTGGTTTTCCATGACTGAAATCTTGGAATAATAAGACAAATAAAAATAGTATTAGCAATAAGAGCAAGGACCCTATGTCTGTATAGACCTAGAACCTGTGTTTGAATACACCCTGAAAGGAGGTAGGTTGAAGAAAACATTGGCTGTACGAAATTTTAAATTTGACTCATTGTCTCCAATGTGCAATATAGTTGACCAGGTAATTTTATTTTATTCTATTTTATTTTATTTTGAGACAGGGTTTTTCTGTGTATCTTTGGTCCCTGTCCTGGAACTAGCTCTTGTAGACCAGGCTGTTCTCGAACTCACAGAGATCCACCTGCCTCTGCCTCCCGAGTGCTGGGATTAATGGTGTGTGCCACCACTGTCTGGCTGAGGACCGTATATTTTTAAGTAACATCTGAATCCAGTAGGAATCCACTGCTAAAAGTTTTGAACATATTCTTATATCTGTCATAAGAGGATTAGACCTAACTGTTAAGGAGTTCCCTCCACCACTTGAATTACATAGTACCTGATAGTCTCCTGTGCTTCCTACTGTGACTCAATGATAGATAAACTAACAAGCAGAAAATGCACACTTGAACTTCTTGAAAACAGTCCCAATGATTTAAATCCTCAGTCTGAAAAAAAGGTACAAACAAAAAAGCTCAAAAAGATACAAGCAAAGTGGCTGAGTATCTTCAAATAACCAAGATAAGAATTAACTTACTTCTAGCAAGGTGGCACAGGCCTGTAATTCCAGTCTTCAAGAAACAGGCAGTTTGATTGTTAAAGCTAGGCCACTCTAAGCTACCTAAGGTTTCCAGGGCAGCCTGAGCTACACAGCGAGATTGGTTCCCCACAAACATAAACAAAAGATGTAACCTTTAATCAGAAAAAAAGAAAGACCAGGTATGATGGCATATGGGGACAATGAGGCAGGAAAGTCACAAAAACTCATTAGGTCTAGGGCAATTTGAGATACACAGAGAGAGAATAACCAAAGATAAAAGAGTAGAGGAAAAGAAAGTATAGAGGTGAGGATTGAGAAAGGCTGTGGGGGAACGGGAGAGGAGGAAAAATGGAAGGAAAGGGGGAAGGCTAAGAAGAAAGGAGAATTGAGAGATGTGGCACGTGTTGTAATACGTCTTAATAATAAAAGCCGAGAGTTATATATAGGAGAAAATGTGGAGAGATCAGATAGACGAAGCAGCAAACCACAGAAACCTTAACTACTCATCTTCCCAGCCAAAAAGGTGGCTGTGGATTGCTTCTTTGTCTATCTGATCTCTCCACATTTTCTCCCAAATATAACTCTGGACATTTATTATTAAGACCTAGCTCGTGTTCTCCCTCCATCTGCTCCTCATTGGGACCTTGGAAGCTCACTCCAGTGCTCCAATGTGGGTCTCTGTTTCTATCTCCATCTATTGCCAGATGAAGGTTTTATGGTGATATGAAAGATATTCATTAGTATGGCTATAGGATCGGGCCAGTTCAGGCACCCTCTCCTCAGCTGCCCAAGAAACTAGTTGGGGAAATCCCCTTGGACACCTGGGAACCCCTCTAGAGTCAAGTCTCTTGCCAACCCTAAAATGGCTCCCTTAATTAAGATATCTATTTCTCTGCTCCACCATCCACCTATCCCCCATCCCAAACATCCCATTCCCTCAAGCTCTCCCCATCCTCCCCTTCTCCCTTCTCTCTCCCCATCTCCCCTTAACCCCATCCCAACCCATCCCCCAAGCTCCCAATTTTTGCCTGGCAATCTTGTCTACTTCCAATATCCAGGAGGATAACTACATGTTTTTCTTTGGGTTCACCTTAATGCAACAGATAGGAGGTAGTAAATAGCTGGCTAGGGGGTTGCAGAGTGTAGGAGTGGGTGGGGGTGATGAATCACAGTAAATATTCAGGGTTCCAAGTACAAAATAACAGGCATAATAGAGCCCTTTCAATGCTTTATGGTGAAGTTATGTACAAGAATCCTATGCTCCAAATTACTTTCTTCACAGTATTCTCGTGGACGTCAGAATTTTGTCTGGAATGCTTACTGACTCACAGCAAGACATTCCAGCCCCAGGCAAAGTCAACATGAACCTATTTATCTGGGGACTTCCCCTTTCCCCGGAACAAAAAATGACAGGAACACTTCCTCCTATGGAGTTATTTTAATGAGAACAAGGAGCAGAGGGGGACAGAGAGAGGGAAGAGGAGGGCCTTAACCTCCCATTAATTGTCCTGTCGGTATAGGCCTTGGTCAACTTGGTGAAGGCGTCTCCTGTCAGGTAAAAGAAACTCCCCTGGTGTTGTAGGGTGTTACAATTGGGGGCTTCTGAGTTAAAACTAAGACAGCCAGAATCTTTTTGTGAATCTCCTAAAAAAATAGTCCACCCTTGGCCATGAAAAGGAAGCCAGCCACACAGGTCTGCTTCTGCTCTGGTTTCCGAAGTTCCGGACATGGCCCTTAGGCCAAGATACCGGTAACTTTTTCTTGTGTCTCTCAGAGAAGGAAGGCCGCATTAAGATAATGGAGGACTAAGGGACAAAAGAGGAAATATAGAAGTTATAGATTTATAAGGAGGGAGGCCAGTTATGAAAATTAGGAAGATTGACCCATGCTGCATGGGGTATACATAGAATTGTTCTCTTGTGTGGTGGCTTAGGTGGGTCAGGCCGGCCTAAAGACTGTGATACCATCTCACTTTGTCCTTCAGAGAACACGGAGATGGGAGAATTATGTAGCATGTTTTAGGATGTTCACGCTGAGGAGATCTGGAAAAGAAACGGGGGGAGGGGCAGGCTTCGCAAAAGTATACGCATGTTACTCGTTGGCTGAATAGCATCAGGCATAAGTGGCAAAGCTTAACTTAATTTCTACCTGTGTGTTATTAGTGAAGGTTGTGGTGTTAAGTTTAAAGAGGCAGGGAAAAGTGGGGGTTCAGACTTAATTAAAAATGCACACGAGGGTTCTGAATATAAAGAGGATCCTGAAATTTATCTAATGGGGCTCTAATGAAAATGCTTTTCTCTCACTAATAAGATATAACCTGGGGTGCAATGCAGTGCCCTAACACAATCTGATTTCCTCCACAGGTTTCTTAGGAAGTGGATTATAATCATAAAAATCAGAGCACCGTGAGTACCCAAAAAGATGTCCCCAGAAAAGGAGCGGAGGTGGCATTCACTTATTAAAGAGAAGTCTCTCACTACCCAGTGATGGTATGGCATTCATAGTGTTATTCTATTCCCTCCAGATACCTGCCTTACAGCACTCCTGCCTGCTGACTGTGAGACAACTCATCATGCCTAGGGGCAACAAGAGCAAGGGCCGCTCCAGGGCCAAAAGGCAGCAGACTCGGGGAGAGAGGCAGAATCTCCAGGGTGCTCAGTCCGCTGCAGAGGAGGAAGCAACATCGCCCCCTCTTGGCCAGGGGGATGACCCCAGCTCCCCTGAAGGCCGCACTCCTCAGGGGTCTCAGGAGGCCATGCCCCACGGCTCTCCTGAGTTAGATGTGCCCCGCTCAATCTATGATGTTGGTGCTGAGGGTTCTGATGTTGGTGCTGAGGGTTCTGTTGCAAGTGCTGATGAGACAAGTGCTGTCAGTGCTGAAGGTTCTGGTGCTGGTGCTGGTGCTGGTACCGAGGATTCTGTTGCAGATGATGACAGACGTGCTCATGCCTCCAAGATAGCAGCTGCCATTCTGTCTGCACGCAGAGATCCTCTGACCAGGAAGGCCAATGTATTGATAGAGTTCATGCTGGAGAAATTTAAGGTGAAAAAGGCCTTCACACAGGCAGATATGCTTAGGAAGATCAGCAGGAAGTACAAGATGCACTTCACTGAGATCCTCAGGAGAATCTCTGTGCGCCTGGAGTTGGTCTTTGGCCTTGAGTTGAAAGAAGTAGATCCCAGTTCTCAGTCATATATGCTTGTGAGCAAGCTGGGTCTCTCCACCGAGGGAAGTCTGAGTAACAGTACTGGGTTGCCTAAGACAGGGCTCCTGATGACCCTCCTGGGTGTGATCTTCATGAAGGGGAACCGTGCCACTGAGGAAGATGTTTCGGAATTCCTGAAAGTAGTGGGGATTTACCCTGGGAAGAGTCATGTAATTTTTGGGGAGCCCTGGGAGTTCATCACCAAAGATTTGGTGAAGGAAAATTATGTGATATACCGCCAAGTTCTTGGCAGTGATCCCCCACGCTATGAGTTCAGGTGGGGTCCCAGAGCCTATGCTGAAACCACCAAGATGAAAGTCCTGGAAGTTGTAGCTAAGATCAATAACACTTTCCCCAGTTTCTTCCCTAGTATGTATGAAGAGGCTATGCTTGATGAGGCTAATAGAGCAGCACGGCGATTTACAGCTGTGCCTGGCAATGCTGTTGATATCAGTGATATCAGGGAAGTTAGGGCTCATCATCGCAAGTGCATGGCTCACAGCTCCTCCCACACTTAGTTGGATTTGAGATATAGTTTGTATTGTGCTGAAGAGTAGTCAGTCTCCTATGTAATGAAATGTAATTTGGGCTATAAGTAATAAAGTTTGTATCTTATCTTTCTGCAATACATGAGAAAATATATGTATTTTTTTCTTTGCGATTTTGTAAATGTTCCTTGAATCGAGGATTAGCTTGCTTCATAATTTGCTTCTTAACATTGTGCCTGACATACGTATGAGTGTTTCTCGTGTTTAAGACCAAGAGTTTGGCTATTAATGGCGATTAAAAAAAAATCTGGTATATCTTTAAAATGTTAATGTGGCATTGGAACAATAACTTTCCTGAAAATATAGAATTGGTTGATGGTGAAACAGACGTGACAAGGCTAATTCAAATTGGTTGTATTTTGCTTTTTCATGTAATGCCTGTAACTGAAATAAACTTGGATTTCATTACTCAAAATGTGTTAGACAATAAATTATAATAAATACCACAGAAAAATAAAAGGGGTCAAGGACATCACAAGACAAACCACATAAAAAATAACTTGGGCTCATAGGACCTCAAAAATTCTGAAACAACAATCAGGGAAACTGCATGGGACTGACTGAGACCCTCTTCATATTTGTGACAGTTTTATACCTTGGTCTACTTTTGTGACTCCTAACAATGGGAACAGGGGATGTCCCTCAGGCTTTGAATGGCTCTTGGGAACCTATTCCTCATACTGGATTGCCTTGCCCAGCCTTAATAGAAGGGGAGGTGCTTAGTCTTAAGGCAACATTACATGCCATGCTTTGTTGATAACCATGGTAGGCCTGCCTGTTTCTGAACAGAAACAGAGGAGGAGTGGATGGAGAAATTGCTGTGGAGGCTCAGTGGATGGAGAAAATGGGAAGAAAGGAGGGAAGGAAATGAGGTTCTAAAGTGAAGTAAATCCCCCCAACCCTTTACTACTCGTGGCAGGCAAGAAAGCAGTTCCTGGGATTAAGAGAGATGAAGAACTATCTCTGTCCCTCACTGTATGTAGCACAAGGGAGAACAGAAACTGCATCCTTTGTGGACAGTACACTAGGGCTGACCCTATTGGCTGTGATGCAGGGGAGCCCACTGAAGGCATTAGAGTATGAGAAATGGCCCTGCCTCCCCCCCCATCATGTGGTAGCATGGGTGAGGGAAAGATGCTTCCCCCTGCTCCTGGTGTTAGGTGATAGAGCCCCAGGATCACTAGAGTGGGGGAACTATCCATGCCCCTCATTACCTGCAGCACACAGGAGAGCAGTGGACCCTGCAATTCGCCAAGGTACCAAACTTGTCCTTGTATGCTGTTGTAAGGGATGCAGGTGAGCCAGCCCTAATGGTGTAAGAACAGGAGGGCTGCCTCTGCCTACAGCCCTCCTATGACTCCTACAACCTTGCCTGTGAGAAAAACAGTGGAGTTAGTCCTTGTGGTGTGAATGTGATTGAGTGGACCTGAGGACCTGAGAGCAGGAGAATAGGCTACAATTGGATGGGCAGAATGAGGCAGTACTGTAGAGCATGTGAGGGTGGGGGTGACAATAAGGAGAAGCGGGCAGGCTGGCCAATCCAGCTGATAGCCAGGCCCTGGACTGTGAGCTGTTAGAGCTTGAGAAGGCATGGATCCAAAACTGCAGGATCTATATGACACAGGACAAAGGTAGGAAGTCTAGGTGGGGTAGACCCACTGAGAGCCCATTGTCCATGCTGTGATAGGGGACAGAGGTCCCTAACCAGACTGATGACTTGTGGCAATGAATAATTGCAAATGAAGGTGAAAAGAGGTAACCCAGACCCAGAATGCCAAACACTGTATGTTCTCTCTCAGATGTGGACACTAGCTTTGAATCTTAAGTATGTTTGTTTACATTGGCATTCCCATAGAAGTCAGGAAACTAGTAAGGGACTATGTAGGGGATATCAAAAGAGGGGGCTACAACACAGGTGGTATAAAAGGAGAAAAGGGAATAATGGAACAGGAAAAGCTGAATGGGGTAGAGAAGAGAGTGGAGCGTAGAGGAGCAAGTGTGGAAAGGGATAACTAACATTAGACCTTTGAAAAAAACATATGGTAAGCTACTACAATAGGAACTTCTTTAAATAAATTATATTCATCTATAAATATATATTTCCTGAAGTTACCAGCAAAAGAGCTACAGTGCCTGTCCTAGACAACAAATAAAAGCCTAGTCAAATTCATAGGGTACCATATTGCTACCCAATGAGGTCATAAAAACCTCGGCAAACACAACAGACTACTGTGATTATTCTTGGTTGCCTCTCAGAAACTTGGTGATAAGATCATGAAGACACCACATACTTAAATCACAGTACAAGGAGAAATCAAGCTAACAATGACTTACAAGCTTCATTTCTATTTGCTAGATTTCAGAGTCCTAGAAGGTGGTATGTATGCTACTGGGGGACAAAAAAAATCATTAACAATCTTTCCAAGCTGTAAATCATGTGAGCTAAAATAGTGACTGGCTGGGAAAGATATGCCCACTTGTTCAATAATGGCATGAATGTTACGGTACTAACCCATCACTTTCTATGTATAGTTAAGGCTCAGTTTACAAGACTGAACTCATACTAGGTTCTCTTAATCAGAACTAGAACCCTTGGCTGGGTAGGTGGTAAGTCCCATAGAAGAATTACTATTATTTCACTAAATAGACACAGCACTAAACTGCCTCCCAAGGACTTATCCTTATTACCTGTGAATGAATGTGTCTCTCAACACTCATTAGAGAAACATTTTTTTTTTGCAGTAGATAGCAACTAATACAGAGGTTCTGAATGATCAATATGCAGAGAAGAGGAGAATGTAAATGCTTGATTTTAAATGAGACATGTTGGTGGAGGCTGCTTGTTCATTCTCAGCCACCCAGACCTAAAATAATTACACAGAAACTGTTTTAATAACTGCTTGGCCAATAGCTTATGTGTATTTCTAGATACCTCTTACATCTTAAATTAACTCATTTCTTTTAATCTGTGTATTTCCACAATGCTGTGTCTAACTGGGTAAAGTTCCAGGCATCTGTCTCCACCCATGGCTACATGGCATCTATCTGACTCTGCCTATGCTCTCTCTATATTTTTTCAGTCTGGCTATACTCTGCCCTGCTTATAGGCTAAGGCAGCTTTATCATTAACCAATAAATGCAACATATATACAGAAGGAAATCCCATATCACTTCCCCTTTTCTGTGTAAAGAAAAAGGAAGGATTTAAAGTTAACATAGTAAAATTATATATAATACAACAGGTATCAAGCAAGAATTACAGTTATAACATTTATATCTACTTTATCTTTCATCATAATTAAGCAAAATTATAATTATATGTATTCTTCAAGTCCATCAAAGACTCCATACAGAAGGATATAATATTACCTAGGTAAATAGGAAGTACATTGTAAGCAACGTCCAAAACTCTAGAATTGACAGAGACGTCTCGCTGCCTGGACAGTCATCCAAAGTTCTTCTGTAACATTATGGCATCTATCTTCAATCTATAGGCCCATAGATACCCGGCAGATTTTTCATGAAGCAGAAAATTTGAAGATCTCTTATGATTTGTACTGGCAAAATTAATCAGTTGCTTTCTGCTGTGTCCTGGAAAATGTCTTATGAAGCAGGAACTCCAGAGGGCCATCTAACATTTAGACAAGTTCGGCAGTCATTTTTCTGTGTGTGGGTCCTTTCATGTCTGGTTCATTTTGTAGTAGGAGCCTTCTTTTTTGTTCCTGGCCGCTCAGACCCAAAATAATCCCACAGAAACTATGTATTAATTGTAATACTGTTTGGCCAATAGCTTAAGCATATTTCTAGATAGCTCTTACATTTTTAATTAACATATTCCTATTATTTTATATTTTACCACAAGGCTCATGGTTTACTGGTAAGGTTCCAGCATCTGTCTCCTTTGGCAGCTACATGGCATCTCTCTTGACTTAGCCTACTCTCTCTATATATATCTTTTCCAGCTTGGCTATATTCTGTTAATCCAATGGCCAAAAGGAACTTTTTTATTAACCAATGGCAATAAGACATGTTCATAGCATGCAGAGGGAAATTCCACATCACCTCCTCTTTTATGACTAAATAAAAAGAAATGTTTTAACTTTAACATAGTAAAATTACATATAGTAAAACAGGTATCAAGCAAGAATTGCAGTTACAATATTTATATCTAATTTATCTTTTATCATAACTAAGAAAAAGTATAATTATAACTATTTTTCAACTCCATCAAAGACTCCAGAAGGATATAATTTACCTAAGTGTAGGGATAAGCCCTCCCCTTGGGGGCGGGCTGCCCTCAGGCGTATGTTTACTGATATATTGTGCTGCGCGCCCCTTTTGCTCCCTCCTGTTTTCGCTGGCTACTCCGCTGGAACCTTGGTTTCGTGAGTCTGGTTTTGTTATTAAACTTGTTTAAATATCAATTAATGGTGATTTATTAATCCGACCGCTGCAGTTGGCCGCCCATCGTGGGGCACCGCACCCGCTCCTTAGACCCGCTGTGTCCGCAGCAGGTCAGGCACACAGGCTGCCGATTTCCCCGCCCGCAGCGGCGCGGCTCGGGACGCAAACGCGGCACCGAACGCGATCGCCACAGAGTCCCGTCTGCCTGCCATTAGCCACTTCAGCGATCGCCACAGCTCGCCCGCCGTCTCTGTCCCCCACCCCCCAGTCGAATCCCGCTCCTGCCCGCCCGCCCGCCCGATTTAGGTCAGCAGGGACGGCTTTGTTCGCTTCCGTGCACCTCCCCCACACCAGTCCTAGCCCGCTGCGGCTTGCAGGCAGCTCTTTGTGTTCCTCTCGCAGAGCAGAGGACTTAACCCCTCCCTCTCTGCCTTGACGTTTGGAACTGAACAGGGAAGCTTAAATATTTGCGGTTTTACAACACAAACCGCCACATTGGGCCCCAAGGGGTCATTTGTATAAATTTCAGTCTTGAGGTTCATTTCAGATCAATTCTCCACGTGGATTCAAGTGGACTCTTTCGCCACCTCTGGCAGGAACCAGTCATTACAGGTAAAAAA